TGCACGTTTTCTTTTGTTTTCCACTTTATCTCGCCTCTGATAGCGTCTGTGCTTGAAATTCTAATCCGTCTGTGGATCGGTGACTAGTCTGGACGGTGTTTTCTACGTAATATTCATCCTTCCTATAGTGATGACAAAGATAGCAAATTAAATTAATTTTTAAATACTTAAAATAATATATTTGGAATTTAGATAATTGTCGCACCTTTGGTCTGGACAGTTGCAAGTTAGAAGGTGAAAGTTAGACCACCAGAAAGACACGTGAAATTTACTGTTACAGACGATGGCGGATGAATCTTAAAGTCAAATGACTCTCGAACCTCCATCTTCGAAAGTTTCTATCCTGTGAAACTGCATTTGCTAACAGACCGCATCGCGAGGACCTGGTGACTTCGTTTTACCCCTTGTTGTATCCCTTGCTTGGTCTTACGCAGGAAAGGGCGAAATAAAATTAAGACGTTCCAATTATGACTCCCTTATCCATAGACCCAAGCACATGCAAGGCAACTTCAGTGAAGTGAGGCAGATAGTTCTCTGCACCCTGTGCCATTGAAGCAGCAGAAGTGGGTATTGGCTAAGGTCTAGTGGCACTAAACTGGCGGGTAAGTACCTGATGGTAAGAGTCCTTGATTCAGCTTCAGTAAACTACGTTCAAAAAACGAACTAAAGTTGCTGATAAAGGGTCTTTTATGTTTAATTCAACTTCACGTTTTCGACATATGTGTAATATATACGTTTGTTACAAAAAATAATTTCTAAATTTGTATACTTTATTTCACTTCCGGTGTATTTTTAGGTGGTTTACTCACTATTATATTCTGGCTACGGTTGTTACGTCTATCTGCGTCGTGTTGTCCATCGAGTGCTACGTTTTCGAAATGCCCCCACCAGGATTTCTCCGAGAATTCCTCGTGCGGCTGCGAGGTCCTCTGTATGCGGCACCTCTTGGTAAGTGATATTTGAATTTTTTTGTTTGGTGTTTGCTTTAAATCTTGTATAATATTAATGGCTTGTGTCAGGGAACCCAGTTAACAGTGAAATGGTGAAAAGTTTTCCATACCCTTGGCAAAGAGATCTGTTGCCAATTTTATTAGCTATGCCCTGATTATACTGGCGGTGTGACGGCGAACAAATACAGAAAGCGCGAAGATGGCATTAGAACCGTTGCGCCAACAGACAGTGGCCTCAGGCCATCTCGGTCATCAAAGTTTCTTGGGTGCTTCTGTTTACTCTGTCTCCTTGGATCATGGAAGACGAGAGCATTGTTACACGGTTCAGAGGAACCGTTGGCACACTGCGGTACTCCTCCGCCTCTCAGTTAGTGAGGACATCTGCGACCATGTCTTAACCGGAAGATGTTCCTGCAGCTGGATCACTACCCATCTTCTTCGCTGATAGATTTATCTCACGGCACTTACGCCCCTTATAGTGTTTATTATTTATTCCAGGATAGTGGGGGGGGGGGAGGATTCGTGACCAGTTAAAACGGAACGGATGTTAAAAGGTTTACCAACAGAATTTTCTCTCAGCCTTGTAGCAACAAATTAACTAGAGAGAGAAGTTTTTTATTTACATATTTCTGAAGATTCGTATTAAGTCGATGAAAGACAAAGTATGAAATTTGTTATTATACTCGAAAGGGTAGTTGCATAATTGTTTAATCGTTCTTATGTGCAAATTTAGTATCCGAGAAGTCAGCGCTGCTAACATTGATGCTGTTATGGCTGCACGTCGTTCGACGACTGTTCGAAAGCTTGTTTGTCAGCGTCTACTCTGATACAAAGATGAACATCATGCACTACTCGCTTGGTCTCCTTCATTACCTGTGTCTGCCGTGCGCCGTGCTTGTTGAAGCTCCGGGATTTGTTTCTGTCAACGGTATGCTTACCTTTCGTAAGTTTATTATGTGTTGATGTTCGATGCTTGGCCTATGGTTTTGAGGTAAATGAGAAAAAGCTTCATTTTCTAGCATCAGTGCAAAAATACAACCAACAAAATAGCGTATAAAATAAAGTAGTCATTAAGAACATTTTTATGTTCAAATAAAATCGCCTCCGGTGAATCCAGCTTTTCAGCGTAACAGATAAACACATTGAATTCACGAAACAATAAATGGTTGAACAATGGAAAATGTCAGAATTGTGTCTCTTGATCATATCAGTTCTACTTGATGTTTAGACACGACAGATCCTTGTTCTGATAATATTAAAAATCGGCTTAAGTTTCAAACGCTCTTCTAACCTCGAGCTAAACCGTGTATTCGTGAACGTCCTGTAGCTGGCCATAGTGATCCCTACAATATGCTTGGTCTGTTCCTTGCTAGTTGGAAATTTTATGATTGGTTGAGGGTTAGCTGGGTATATTCGTAGTTAATTTTGAGATCTCTTCATTCACGTCTCCTCTTTCAGTAGTCATTGTTTACTTTCAGAGCTTTAAATACTGTTACGGCCGAAAGACGTCGGTACCAATCTATCGTTTGATCAACAGAATCATTTGCGTTGTGTATAGTTACATTTTTTAATACTGTTTTAACTTTTAACATCGCAGCATAGTAATGGCTCTCGTTTTTCAAATCTCAAAGATTGTCATTTAGGAAAATTCAGATGGAAACACGTGGACCCTGTCGCCATGCTCGGTAAGTTAATGGCTTTGCGATCGATCTGGTCGTATTTTAGAACTTGATCAATTTAGACTCAACGTTGAAGCAGTTGTCATTTCTGCAGCTATTGGGAATACTGTTGTTCGCGATATCCAACATCAGTCAGCATCAGTCGCTGGACGTGTTGGCAAATATGAGGCGAAATTACTTAGGTGACCAAACGCAAGCGTGACCGTTCGTTGTTGCAGCTGTCATGGATATTTCCAAAATTTACGGTTTAGGCAACATAACTAACTACGCTCATGGCATTCCGACGTCCGGCTGGTTCGAAGTCGTTTCGTGCCCCCATTTTCTCTTCGAGGTGCTCATCTACCTGTCGTTGTGGTGCACGATCGGTCCATTGGCACGCGTCTGGCCGTCCGTCTGCCTCTTCGTCTTCGTCAATCAGTGCATCGCCGCGAAAATCACTCACAACTGGTACCAAGAAAAGTTCGGCGACATGTATCCAGCACATCGACGAGCCATCTTCCCATATCTGTTTTGACCGGTTCTGTGATACTGTACTGGATCCGCTGTGTTATTCATGTGCTGCTGCTGTACAATCGCTACGTGACGTGTGCTAAGTTAAATATTAACTTATTCAACACCGATCGTGTGCACTGATACTGCCGCATGCACTTCACCTGCTCGTACTCGACTCCACTGGCATCGACCATTCGTTAATTATTCGTTTCGCTGTGCTGTATACCAGTGATAACCTAACACTT